AATATAATACATGATCCTTACAAAATTTTATCCGAAACTATCGAACTGTTAGGGTCGTGTATCTGTTTATTTTATTATATGACCACATATAGATTTTGATTTACATACACCCCATTGACGCCGACATAATAATGAAAGAAATTGATGAATCCCATTCAAGGGAGTTTCTACGTATAGCGATAAATAGTGCCTGATTTAATGTTGCATGAGATTCGTAACACGGTTCATTCATATATCTCACATATATCGGTAAATCTGCAGTACATATCAAATTATCTTTTTTTTTTTTGTATAATGACCAAATCAGAAACATCAACAGGAAAACCACCGCTTCGTACTCAACGGGAAACATGTTGGAAATTACGAGATGAATATTTTTCATGTCTCGAAGCAGTATCGATATTTGACCCTACAAAGGTAGATACCGATGAATCAATACGAAAATTAGTTAAGAAAAGTGATTGTTGGAAAAAAAAGAGTTCTTATGAAGATGCTTGTATGACAAGTTGGGTAAGTTGTTTGTTTATCAAAGAAATTTATGGGTTTAAATTATTATTTTTTTTTATATTGAACATTGATTTTCCAATTAAAATTTAAAGGTGGATTATTTTAATAAACGACGAGCATTGGAGATTAGACAACGCCAAATTTCAGCAGAAACAAAAAAACAATCAGATGGTGAATCAGAAAGCAAATAAATATCTCAATTCATTTATTAAAGAATATCATTTCTTTTATATATGTTTGAAAAGTGACAAAGTCAAGAACGTATTTTAAATAAATGTTTTATTGGTTATTATATATCAGTCTGTATGAAGCTGTACAGTAATAGAACCAACATGAGCAAATATCCGTTCAAGAAAATATAATTAATTAATCATTAAAATCTTCAAATATTATTATTTTATATATTGTGAAATACCCCAAAGCGAAATAACAGAAAGCGATTATTCACTACATAACGCGCTTCGAAAGCTTGTTTCATTATTTATAGTGTGAAGACAAAGCTTGTTCAGCAACGTGACACAAACTGTCCAATCTGACTTGAAAAAAGCCGATTCAATCCCCACACATCACGGCATAAATCCTTCAATCTTAGAGAATTCGAACCTCTATTATTTAAATTAAAACGTAATGTGTTAATAATTGTAATCATTTAAATTGGGTTCTACTGGATAATAGGATACTTTTAGAAATATTTTTCCAAAAAAAATATGATTTTAACAACTAAATAAAGACCGGTGATTTTAAATATGTCTAATTAGCTTGAGTCATTGTGCCTGTTGGGAATGTATACCTCACCAAACTTCTAAGAACCTCTGTCATATCCTTTGATTTAATTTCTTCAATAGAGCGATTAAATTCTTCAACCTCTGCTTTTCTTTTCTCGACCCATTTTTTTCTCTCATTGGCATTCAATTCATTATATTCACGACAAGCTTTATAAACATCAGTCGTCCAATAATATGGATTTTGGTCCCGAATGCCAGGTCCAGGTAAAGTAACAAGACAATTCTCAAAAAAGTTTGAAGGCTTTATATCATTAATATTAGGAAGGCAAGAAAGTACTTCTTCGGGAATATTATTTCGTAAGTCTTCAGAGCTTGTGGGGTAATAATATGTTAGAAAATACAATTTCGCAAAAACATATATAAGATATAATAAGGTTTAATAATATTATTATTACCTTGTGGTTTTTATAGACAAGCAGGGTCTACAACATAATCTTTTAAACTCCCAAATCAAGGATTGATATCGATCAGAATCATTGACTTGGGCTCCACATATCTGGCATGAACTACCCAACTCTTTCAACCAAATATATTGTTGTTCACACATGCCTTTGGGTGGTGATAACGAACATGAAAATTTTGATACCGGTAATAATGATCTAGACTTACGCCAGATTTGTTGAGTACAACCAGAAGTGGCCCATAAAAAATTACGAAGCTTTTTACAAACTGTAGTTAAAGTGTAAAGATCTTGAGGTGGAAGATTTTCACATATTTCAGCCAAGATTTCTGGTGTCAAAGATAATAAAGGAAAATGCTTCATGTTATTTTAAGCGTCACTCGATTCCTTTGTAACATGTAACAACAGGATAACTATGTTCAAAATTTTCTTTGCTTTGCGCGATAAAAGATAATGATATTATAGCGATAGTATTATTTTTTATTTATGCATGTGAACATCGGTGTGTTTGTTGTACCATACTCCGAAAAAATGATTGTTTTTAAGTCACCTGTTGATATTTTTGTTACGTATTTTACGAGTTTTGTATTTGCGTAGTACATTTTTGTTAGTTAAATACGTAATTCAAAATTTTCAAAAAAAACAATTGTTTTTACTCTCTCGATCTCTTCAAACAAAGCTCTTGCTTCTTTTAGATTTTATTAAGGTGTGAAATCATTACCTTAAGTACATAAATAAAACCTATTTATTTTGATAAACAACAAAACTATATAAACTGTTTTTTTTTTGTTTTGATCAGAAAGTGTTTTCAAATATTTCACAATGGACTCGTATAAAGATTATTACATGGATCCAGGATTTTTACCTCAAAAGGTCACCATGGCTCGACTACGCGAAATACTAGGTGAACGTAATGTACATTATACGGGTAGTGAAAAAAAAGCCGAACTAGTAGAATTATTTAATAAACATGTTAAACCGCTCATACCGTCGTTACGTGAAAAAGAACAAGAACTAGAGAACTATCGTATTAAAACGGAAGCAGAGCTTGCCAGATCAACAGAAAGAAAACCTAAACCCCCACGGAAAAGCGCAGTTGCTTCGTCCGAGACTCCACAAGTATAAATAAATATTTACGTGATTTTCAAAAATAAATTATTATTTAAAAAAAATTATAACGTTTTATCTATTTTATATAATTTAGACTACTCCAAAACCTTCTCGTTCATCAAAAAGGACTAGCAAAGGCAAAGTTAAAGTTGTTGTAAATGAACCTGAAGTCGTATCTGAGGAATCAACAGACGTAGATTCAAGAACATTAAAAGTTAGATCGATTGCACCAGAGGTAGTACCAGATCTAACACCTAAAACAAATGATAAAGGACGATTATATCCAGAACTTTCAATTTCAAAACGTGTCAAAGAAGAGAATTCTACTAGTCGACGTGAAGCAGTGGCATATGCATTTAGAAATCCTAATTATATGCCAACGCGACAAATTAATCGTCAACCATCACCCGAATTAATAAAATCTCAAACAAAACCACGCGGAGTGAAAACTGCACTTATGTTATTTTTTGTAATTTTGATGATTGGTGCTTACGCACAAATCAAAATGGAAATTGGCTTTTGTGATGGACCTTCGAATGCAGTAGGCGGTGGAAGCACCGAGAGTGAAAGTAAGATTCAACATTAGATAAATTTAATTAATTTAATTAATTAGAGGAGAATTGCAATTATAATAATTTATCATAATTTATCTGGAACCTTATATAGCACCCTTTTTTGAGATCACTTGTACGCCTTGTCCAGATCATGCCCATTGCTCAGAGGGTAAAATCACCTCGTGTGATGAAGGTTTCGTAATCAAATCTTCATCAATTCATTGGCTCAAACCTTTCACCAGCAGATGTATACTTGATTTAGACTGGGAGTATAAGATTACAAAGTATACCGAGCTGCTTAAAAAAATATCTGCCGAAGAAACTGGAAAGGTTGAGTGCGGAAATGGCGATCGAGAAGGATTATTATTTCAGAATATTGTTACATTACTTCGTCAAAAGAAATTAGTGAGTAAATAATTTTGATAATCTTCAGAAAGTATATAGATATTCTGATATTCCTCAGAAAGCATATAGATATTCTGATATTCACAGGCAATTAATGATCATTTGTAACAACAAAATAAGACTAATTTTTTTTTTTTCGGCTTTATGATAGCCATCACAGGATACAGAAGAGAATTTTAAAAAATTGGCACAAACTGCATTTAAAAACTTAACGGACCCTAAGCATATTGATGTTGAAATAGTTGATGAAAGAGAGTATGTTTTTTTTTTCAAGCTTGAATCTTCTTGAACCATAATACGAATTATAGTTTTATTGATTTGTAATATATTTTAGGAGTTACAATAAACTCAAA